TGTATTTCTGTATAGCATTTATTTTGGGTATATAGCAAGTGCCCTTTATTGAGCTCTCTTTCTGTACCAAACACTAACCTAGCCTCGTGACCTGCATTTTCTGTAATCCCTTAACAGCCCTGCCAAGTTGATATGATTACTCTCATGTTAGCTGTGAGACAACATGCTTAGTGAAAGTAAGGAATTTGCCCAAGCTACTCACCTAGTCAGTGGCAGAATAGTATTTAAATCCAGTTCCATGCAGAATCCTGTTCTTGAACCCATGTGAATGGAATTGATATGGAAAATAGCTTCCATGTTATAAGCACACTGGTTGAGGTAGATAGAGCCGAAGTGAGTTCAGAAAATAAAAAATGACATTGGCATTCAGCCCCTTTGGTTAGCATCCTGAGGTCTTTCTCTCAAGCTGATAAGCTCTATTATCTTGGCTACAACTTGTCCCCCCCCCCCACTTTGACTGTTGTCCATTTTACTTTTAGAAATACCGTTTCTGAAGTAAAGATATTGAGAGATGGGGTTCCGCTACCCCCCTTTCCTAGCTGTAAGTCCTATAAAGGTGATTCCTGTATAAAGTGCCACATCTAATGGTAGCATCGTTGGTTATAGGAGGTGAGCCAAGGAAGGAGGCATGTTCTGAACCGATGTCTTAATCTGAGAAAATAAAATTACTAACTTTCACCACCTTCTTATTTTTCTTTGTTTCAGTGTGCCCTCTTGCTGATACTCCAATGTTTAAAACGTTGATCATTTTATAAAAGACATGAGATTTTCCATGGGCTTCTCTGTAGAGTTGTACATTTAATATTTATGTTGCTTCCAGTGATGAAAAAAAAATACGCCACACTTAAACTCTGTATCCCACAAGGAATAAAAGACCCCGAGAGAAACAAAAGATCCCACTAGCATACAAAAAGGTCTTGTGTCTATATTTTTATGATCAAAGGTCTTTTGAATAATGGATGGATCTGGTCATGAAAATCCTTATTCTAGCAGTAAAACTGAGTCTGATTATGACTACGGATTATTGAAAAGGGCACCATCAGATACTGCTGGTTAAAGTTCAAAATAGTGCAGCCCATTTGAACTTAGTTTGGAATAGAATTTTTAAAAGTCTTGATAAATCAAGGCTTACCCATGCTACCCCTGGGAGTGTCTCCCCAGGAAAGAATTCTAAATAGAAAGAGGATTTTTGTGCAACAATTTTTAAAAGTAGAATACTTAGAATAGTGGGGAAAGTTAAGTATATTAATATTGTAGCTATGGGAATAAAATCTGTATTTAAAAAAAATTCAAGGAGAAATGGAAACACCATCATCCTGCTATCAAGGATTGTGTTTCAGTGGTAGGATATGGGCAACATTTTCCCCCCAAAGCCCGTATTTCCATAGGAGGAACAGCAGCTCTTATATCATTAAAAACCATAAAGGATACCAAGAATTGGATTTCAAACATTTAAAAACCATTTCATGTTTTCTGTGCCCATTTCCAGAAGTGGGTCCTCCTTTCCTGACTGCATTCTGTGGATGACTCTGAGTAAATTCACAGCTCTTAGCTCAGTCCTCAACCCAGATAGCAGTCAGGTAGAATGGATTAATTGTGGGAAATCTGGAGACGAAGAAGGGTTCTGTATTCCAATTCTCCCTTTTCCTCCCGTACAAGTCCAGATAAAGTGTTGGTTGAGTAGGGAGAAACTGCTCAGAAGAAATCCATTTGCCATAATGTGAAAGAAACACAATGCCAGTTAGAAAAACACCTCTTTTCACTGTTTCTGAACTTTCCTAGGTGTTTTTTTTTCCACCTGGTGGATAAACAAATATTGCCTAGATCTCTATCTCAAACACTTACCTGTAAATCAGCAAATATAGTTTGTGCTGCTTTTTTTCAGTCAAAACATTGTACCTTTTGGAATTATGTCATAATTGTTAATTAAAGAAGATGTTTGGGTTGGGGGTAGCAGTTACTAAGTCTTTTTCACTGAAGCCAAAGAACGGGGCATTTTATTCTCTGAGTTGTCATACTGGCAAGTGATAAACATATTTCAGTAGTTCATCTTCACCCTCATTACTTGTAGTGCTTTTGAAGAGAACAATTGCTTTTTTCTAGTTTGGAAATACATGGTATGTAGCTGAGTACTGACTAATAAAATGTTTAGTGATAAAAAATGAAAGTGGAAAAAACAACAATTACAACAGTTACTCAATATATGTTTGTATTTTGGGGGGGAATGGAGGGAACACTTGTTTCTTATTTTTTTCCTCCTTTCTTCCCCTCTTTAGACAAAACCTGTTGCATTTGCAGTTCGGACAAATGTCAGCTACAGCGCAGCCCATGAAGATGATGTTCCGGTGCCCGGCATGGCCATCTCATTTGAAGCAAAAGATTTTCTGCATGTTAAGGAAGTAAGGGAAATCATTTGAATTTCTGTCCACATGGTTTTTTTTACCTTGAAACATCATTTTGTATTTCTTATTGCTGTGAAAGAGTATTACATAGAGGGGCACTTGTATAACATCCACGTGAAATCAGTGCCTCTCAACTGTTTCTGATAGGAATATAACCTTTATAAAGAAGAAAGCAGTAGCAGGCCTCCTGCGACAACTTCAAGGCTCCCCTGGGCTCTGTGACCCAAAATTGGGAGCTCTTGGAGATGGTCCCTTTTTATGCTTAACCTGTATTTTTTATTTTAATTTGAAACCTTGACTATGTGCTGTTTTCTTCTCATATCTCAAGCTTAACCATCTGGGGAGGGTTTAATAATCATCTCTAGAATTCATGACCTCTCCTCTCTGCTGACAATGTCTAAACTCAGACCATGGCGCCCTTACCCTCCTTCAGGGGTTGATTTCTGCAGTGGAAGGGAGAATGGCAGGAGATGAAGTCAAGAAGGGAAGAAACAGCAAGAAACTCCCTTTCCTCCATGCCAGAAGTCACCCCCTTGCATTTAACAATGACTCAAATTCACCCTTAATTAAGGTTTATTTGAGTCAACATTGACCAAATGCCTGCTGTGCAGAACACTATTGAGTGGCCAGAAATCCCCCTCCATGGTGTTCTCAGGGTGTGAGCATGCGGTTTCCTTGGACCTGCAGAATTTACCATTGGAGTCCGGAGAGCATATGTCCTAGGAAGCATTTGTAAATTTAACTGTTCACCGCACCAAAGGTTATAAGCAAAGGAGCCTATTTAAAGAGCCTGAGAATTCCAAGCCTTCCATCTCATTAACATTTAAAGACAGATGTGAAATATTGGCTAGGAGGGAAGGATAGAAAGTTTTCAGAAGTGATGGTGTGCCTTGAATCTGACTTTATGACAGGATATAAGATTAATTTAGGGTCTTCTCCTGTTGGCTGATGCTTGGAGAGGAATCTCTTTCCACCATGAGAGGTAAAGGAACCAGAATGGATATTCTCCTTTCAAATGTTCAGGAACAGGCTTGAAAAATACTACTCAATTGAAGGAAATCACACCAAATCATAAAAGTTTAGGATAAATATTCTATCCAGCACAGAGAAATGTTCATCATCAGTAGTAAAGAAATCACCTGTGAACACTGTACCACACTAACTATAAACATGTTTGCCCAAATGTAAATTTTGCTCTGATGCAAAACATTTCTGGTAGATTTCAGTACTTATGTCTCAGTGTTAGTATTTCTAACTCATCGGATTCTGTAAGAGGCAGACCTCTGTAACACTCTTTAATTTTTATTGGCCTCTTATTAGGAAGGGCAGTGAATCTTTGAGCAAGGAGAGTTTAACCTACTCACAGCGACAGCAGCGGCTGTGGTAGAATTCAGAGTAATCTTAATTCTTAGACAAAGTCTTCATGTTAACTAAAAATACTTCACTTTTATGTGCTTAACCCATGAACCTAAGGGTTTTCTGAAGTGTGATAGTTGAAGCATAGCTAATTGTAATTGCCATAATACAACTTCTCTGCACTGATCTTAACAAATCTGATTTTGTGTTTAGAAATTTAACAATGACTGGTGGATAGGGCGATTGGTTAAAGAAGGCTGTGAAATCGGATTCATTCCAAGTCCAGTGAAACTAGAGAATATGAGGCTACAGCATGAACAGAGAGCCAAGCAAGGGAAATTCTACTCCAGGTATGAAAAGAACATCAAGTGCTTGTGTTTAGATTATACCATCATTCACATGCTGCTGTTTGCTGTATTCCACAATCTTTATTACATGTTATCAGGTGGACTATTGATAGACTTTATTGATGGTATCACAAGTCCTGCATTTTAAAAAGTTCATCCCAGCCATGGCCAGTGTGTTCAGGAGTTAGAGCATCTGACCATGCACCCAATGGTTGCCGGTTTGATTCCTGGTCAAAGGCATGTATCTGGGTTGCAGGTTCACCCTGATCAGGCCCCGTGCAGGAGGCAACCAACTGATGTGTCTCTCTTACATCTATGCTATGTTTCTCTCTCTCTCTTTCTCACTTTCTCTCTGTCTCTCTCTCTTCTTTTCCCCCCTCTTGCACTCTCTCTAAAAATCAATGGGGAAAATATCCTCAGGTGAGGATTAACCAAAAATAAAAAAATAAAAAGTTCAACCAGCATCTCATTTTCATCTGATTTGGGAGAGAATCAAATTATGTATTATAATTAATGAAAAGAACTAAGGTCATAGAATATTAAATTCAGGCTTCAGTGCAGAGGAAATTATCAAGTCCTAATCTTTAATTGAAAATATTCTAACACTGAGCACACGAGGTGGCTAATTCATATCTCTAGCTGCCTGGCATACAGGAAGATGTTTTAGAGATGACATTCCCAGACATCATTGGCAGAGAGCAGCCCTGGTGGCCTATTAGATTTCATTTTCACTTGAGAAAATCAATTTCCAGTTCTCCCTGCTAAGCACTTAAAGGGAAACTCTATATGAAACCAGTTAAAATTGCCTTTGCAGGTAGCAGTAAAATGAGTTACGTGATAGGCTGGGGTGAATAACCCTTCCTAGCATTCTGGCAGTCATTTGCCTCTCCCTAAGAGAGTCACTCAAAGGGTTACTCAGACGGAGTGACTTTGAAGTTGAACCCCATGCGGCCAAGTCCGAGAACATGGCGTGCTTCTCCCCATGTGAAAGGATGTGACATGGGCAAGTCCTTTCTTTAATGTGAATAGCTGGCTCCTATTTTCTCTAGCTTATATTTTATTTGTTTATAGACTGATGCAAATCCTTTGTCAATGATAATGTTCTAGTGTGAGCAAGAATTTTTTTCAAGCATCTGTAACCAAGTAAAACAGAAGATACTTTTTGGCGTGAACCATCCGTCCTCTTTAATAGTATTTCATAACTGTCAGGCTCCTTCAGTTCTGATGGGTCTCTCCCTTTTTTGAGACTTCTATCCTGTATTTGACTTTTATTAATCCCTGGGTCACTGGGGGCCCTCAGGTTATGGGATGCATTTAGTCATAAAAAAGTAGAGGCCTGGAGGTAAACAAAGCAGGTGCATTTTACTGTGGGGTGGTGAAGACCTGACACCGCTCATGCCATTTCCAGTGTTCTGCTGGCTTTAGTGTGTCTCCTTCTATTCTCCATGTTGTAATGGTATCTTCATACTAGTTAATAAAAGCTTATAATGCGGCACGACTTCGTTTTCCTGGGGCACAGGCACAGCTGTTATGAATTCATAGCACTATATCTAGTTTGTTGAGGTTTGAAGTTATCTCAGCTGGGGGACATTGTGTTTGCATTTTAGTTTTTTTCAAGATAATTCCACATTTTCCAGAGATTTCCTGTCAATTCACTTGAGAAGAGGGTTTCATGGTCAAATGGGTTTAGGATGGTGAAGTTATTTGAGGATTTTTCAGAGCCTTTGGAGTTAGTACGCACTGTCAGTGGGGATGGCGGGGTGGGGACATTGTTCATGTATACACTTAAACTATCGTATGAAAACTTTCCTTGGTTCATGTTTTAGGAATAGTGTTTTGTGGAATGCTTTGAGGAAAATTTGGGATGAGCTTTTCCAGATATAGACTCGTGTACCTTTCTTTGGCTCTTTCCCATGCAAACTGAGAAAGAAGAACTATTTCTAAAGAGCAGGAAGGGAGAAGTTTTTGCAGAAATGGTGAAGGAAGCATGGTTTCCTCTGCCTCCCCCGTGGGCCTCCCTGGACTAGTGTTAGAGATCAGCCCGGCATCACAAGAACCTAAGGGAACAGGATGTATGTTAGAGCCTCCACTTCACTGAGGAGGAAACTGGCCAAGAGAAGCTGGGGAACCTGACCAAGGTCACAGAATGGAAAGTGGTGGAATCAGGATGGGAACTGGTCAGTTGACTATAGCCTCATCTCAGGTGACCACGCTGCTGCACTGTGAGTCAGGCAGCGAGGACCTGACAGGGCAGGCACAGACAGATCATCATTCCTATTGCCAGCTGTTAGTATTCACTACGGTAGATATGTGGTTTGCTCTTGCATTTTTTTCTTTAAAGGCCTGTACCATCTCATATAATTTTTGCTTTGATTTTCTTGATTTCATTTTGTCCTATTTTTTCCCCTAAGCTTTTTCCTAAATATGTGAAAATACTTTTACTCCTTTCAGAGGTTTTTATATTTGTCTCCTAACATTTTAAATAGAGTTTTGTTTTGAGGACATAACCAGAATTCAGCAGTATTTTAAAACTCCAATATATACATTATAAAATCTGATTGAAATCAAAGGCAGTGGAATTGTGGCACGGCTCAAGAAAGTGCCATTTTTATAGAATTAAAAGTTAAGGACAAATTTGCGTTCTGGACATTTTGACTATTTGCAATGTTTGTCACAATTTTACATAATTCAAACAATACTTCAGCTTTTATTAAAATTCAAGGAGAATGTAAAACAAATCCATGCTTAAACTGAAATTAGACTCGGTACTTTAGAAAAAGAAAATTCTGGAAGAAACTGTTTTGGTCCTGATAATGGGTATTGTGTAACTACCAGAGATTGTTTCTATAAATACCGCTTTTTATTCATCTTACCTACTGTCTGGTATCCTTGAGAAATGTACTGAAGCATCTTTTAAGAATCTTAAAAATATGTAGAGGGTTTACGCTAGTTGCTTAACATTTTTGATGTTTGTCTTATGTATTAAAATCTCAGTATAGTAACAATAAAATTCATCCTGCTGCTGGTGTTTTAGTAGAACTGGCATTTTTGTATTATTGTTTACATGAGTAAATATTACACTTTGATGCATAGACACTGTAGCAAATTACTCCAACCAGGCCCTGGTTTGATTCTGATAAACTTTAGACAATAAGACTATCCTGAAATTTCATGTCACTCTTTGAAGATATTTTTTCCATCTCCATTTGTGAAGGGTCATTTAGTGATATATTATTTGATGTGCTTGGTATGCCGGTAAGAAACATAAATGCTGCTGTTCTCATGTTAACTCCAAACCTTCTAAGACACAGATTCATGTCTTAAGTAAAACTAGAATGTGGTCGTTCTGAAGTCTGTGCCCTTCAGATCATCCCTAAATTAACCAGGCAGAATCCTCCACATTCGCCATGCTTCAGGAATGTCCTGGGCATGATCTGACCTGAGGTTCAGTGATACCTGTGACACTGTTGTGTTCCTACGGGTGTCTTTTAGAGGTTAGCAAGTTTGTGTAGTGCTGTGTTTCCCTTTTGTAGGTCACTCATGAAAACCTGAGTCCTTTCAATCTTAGTACAGCAAAAATAATCAAGTTAAGGCCAAGGAGACAGCTGACATTGCTTCGGAGAGTCTCTAAGATACAAAAAATAAAAATAAAAAAAAATACAAGCAGAAGGAAAGCTCTCCTATCTATCTATCTGTGATGCTGGCAGAGAAAAGGAGGGTTATAGAAATCAATGGAGTTCTCTCCCATCCTCCCAGGGCCTTTTACCATTAAGTTTGGAATGGAGACTATTACATGGCTGTCGCAGCAGTCCAGGAATCTCCGCTGGGAAATTACTACCTGCCTCCTTGTAGAGAAGACAAATTTAAAGCTCCCTAAAAACACAATGAGTCATCCTGTTTATTGAGCAATACAAATGTTTTCATGTCTGAAATAAGTGTCAGAGTTAACATAAATTTTTGCTTTACTCCAGTAAATTAGGAGGAAATTCATCATCCAGTTTGGGTGACATAGTACCTAGTTCCAGAAAATCTACACCTCCATCATCTGGTAAGTAGGTGCTGAACAATTGCACACTGCATTCCATGCTGTCCTCAGTCTTACTTAGTTGTGTGAATGTACATTTTCTGAATCCCTGTGGGAATCCTAGAAATGTTCAAAGGAATCAGAGATAAGAATGCCCATATACAGTTAAGAAGAATCTGGAGAATTTTATTTTCTGGCTCTGGGAAAAAAACAAACCAAAAAAAAAGGAAATGTGTCAATGTGTTCACGGTCAGTTGCTTAAATGATCAAAGTGATGAACGTATTTAACTTTTATTCCCAGCCTCCACCATGGTGCCCATTGTCACGCCCATTGAGAGCCACAGTGCAGATGCAATGTAGACCTGAATTGGGTTAAGTAAAGAGAAGAAGCATTAAAACTTTGGAAAGGAATATAAAATGAGGGAATGATAGCCCTGACATACTCAGCAGGCTCTGTGGAAGATGTGGAAGGTGTATAGAAGTACCAAAAAAGGATAAAAATTCTTGTAGGAAGAGTGGCTTCTGTTTTTTGGGGTTTTTTTTTAATCTATAAAGTAGTGGACTCATGCTTAGGCTTGCTAGATAAAATAAAGGACACACAGTTAACATTAAATTTTGGGTAAACAACAAATAATTTTTTAGTATAAGTAAATATTACATGAGATTTACTTATACTAAAAAAGTTATTTATTGGTTAACTGAAATTCAAACTTAATTGATCTTTTATTTGCTCCATGTGGCAGCTCTACCATTCTGTGTAGAACTTGGGTTCCGTAGAAATAGGAGACTAATTGGTCAAACTGCATGAAAGCCCAGGATCAGAGTCCTAGTTTGCTAAGAGAGACAATTGAGAGTCACCGTAAGATTATAAGGCTTGGCTGGCCGATCATTTGAGCAAAATGATTCCCTATCTGATTTCTAGGAAGCTGAGAGGAGGTCAGATACAGAGAACTGCACCTCATGAAGTTCAGGAACTAGTTGCACTATGACTGCTGTGTCTTCACAGGACTGCCCTATGACTAATCATCATACCCATTTCAGATGGTGGTGGCTTTTAGAGACCAATCAAAGGCTTCTTAGTAAAAACTATAAGACCTTTTACATGAGCAAGATCTGAACACAATAAGAAATAAGTCATTGCAGGATGCATATTGTTTTCAAAAACCATGCACTTGAAATTTAAAGCAATCCTTCGTTGCTCAAAATTGAGTAAAATAGTATGCTTGAAAGGAAAATTGAAGCTTTTTTTAAGGTATTATGTGGGGCTCATGTCTTTCCTTCCCATTGGGGAGTAGATTTTCCTGAAGGCACAGGAGAAAGGCAGCCTATCTGACCTTCTCAAATGTATGAGGTTGTAGGGATTCCAGTGTAAACCTTATATGCTTCCTGTGTATTTTTAAGGCTGTAAGGAGACCTCAGAGGTAGAAACGCGGCTCCTGGGTTGGGGAAATGCTCCGTCACTTTGTGATAAAGCAGCATTCCCCCCTCTCAACCCCCGCAGTGCCAGCCCCCTTCCCTAGACCAGGGAGGCGCTCCTGCTCCCGCTGACATGCTGTGGCTTCCCCTCCTTGTGGCAGGATGAGAGCAGGTGCATTTTGAAGCATACTTTGCAGTGTTTGTAAAATTACATGTCATTTTTGTCATTACTAAAAATAAAGTTCAGTGAAGAAGTGATTTAAAACTTCACCCAAGTTTTCTACAAATACAGGCCTTTGGAATAACTTTTCTGAATACCAAGAATATAAACCACTTCTGTCTGCGGGGATTGTAAATATTAACCAACTACCACATTTACTGTAGGCATGTCAGAATCCTGCTATAATTTTTGTATCAATAACCCAACTTGTCTAAAATAAAACTCGTGAAAATTCTACACAGAAGGTCCCCCACCCACCTCGAGGGAGAGCTGCCTAAGCAATCAAATGTGGATTGGCCTGCAGTTGTAATATTCATCTGGGTTTCCCAGAGGCCCTACCCACAATTCTCCTCACCCATGACTGGACCAAAGAATATAAGCATCTGCCTAAACTAAATGTATTTGGAGGTTCTGAAGGATTTGGGAAAGGAAATATTTCCACTTCACATCTGGGAAGTGACAAAGTAGCCAGCTGCACTGTGCATACCTTCAACTGCATGAATGTATACATCCGTGTTCCTCCCATTTGCCCTCAAGTTGATCCAAGTGTCCAAGATTCAACTAAAACCTAAATCTCAAAAAATTTTCCCAAGGCTCTCTCTCTATAAAACAAAAACAAAACAAAACAAAAACAAAATAAAAGCATGCTAGTGAGGAAGAATAAAAGAAACTAATTTCAAGATTATGGAAGCAGTTTTTCACAAGTAAATACCAGTGTTTGATAAGGTATGCAAATATAAGTATGAAATTAAAACGGGGTAACGTTTCTCAGTATAAGGAGAACCATCGAGTCGAATAAAGTTTATAGAACTCTGAAACAAATTGAACATGCTTCTTCAGTCGCAGTACACTTCTTTAATGTGTTTTGAAAGTGGCCATCTGTTTTAGAATTCTCTGTGTTTCAGAATGAGTCCAGATGCCTTTCAATTTAAGTGAGCTGAAAGTCAGAACTAGTGAACTAGAATGTTTTCAACTTGGGGTTTCGAGTCCTTGTGACCAAATACAGGTAAATTTAAAACCTGGCTCAGGCTGTGTGTGTGGGTAGCCAGCAACTGGGCAATGTCACAGCTAAACTTTTTATACATTTCCACTCTTCCTTAAAAAAAAAAAAATTCATCTGCTGATCACAGCAGGTAGAATCAATAGATAAACCATAAAATCCAGTTCCCGGACTTTGCTATCCCAGGCCCTGTCATCTCTGACATGCAAGCAGATCTCAGTTTCAGGAAGGTGCTCTCAGGGGGTACTGGCCCGTTAAGGTGAACTTTATAAGCCCATAGAAGGTGAGGAAGGTAAAAGTATACAGGAATTTACCACCAGAAGGGACACTTATCTGATGATGGGTAAGACATGGTATAGGAATAGTGAAAAAGTGGCCCAGATCCTCTCCATCATATCCAGGGAGACACCAATGACATGCTTACTAAGATGGGGTTCAAGGCAAAACATTATAGGGTCAGCATCAACCCAAACCCCTGGGCCCTTTCTGTAATGTTTCCATTGCACACTATGTGCTGAACCATTTCGCTCATTAATATGCATGCATGACACAGAGAAAGACGTGTTTATTGGTAATTCTAACTAAATATCTGGAATTAACTCAGCCCATTAGTACTGTCACTGAAGAATCACACCTCGGCTTTCTGCCAGCAATAGCTGATATTTGCGGTACCGAACAGACAATGCCAGGTTTTACACGTCATCGCAGGCTTTTGACCCAATCAAAGGAAAAAGAACAAACAAGAGCTCCTAGTTTTCAAAAGGCTGAGTCATCTAATATCCATAATAATTTCAACAGTGAAAAATAACGTGACGCCTGTCAGATGCCCTCCCGTCCTTTGAAAGGTTAGCAGCGGCTGTCATGAGCACTAATTCAGCTTGTGTGTCACAGGGAAGGGTAGGGGCTTTGCAGCACTGAGCTGTCTGTTATTTCAAGGGGGTAATTTGCTGCTTAAATCTGAATGTACTGTGGTTTCCGTTAGAGGTAACGTGTCATAGGATGCTCTGATGCTTTCCAGGGTGAGTAGATTTTCTACTTGACCTCATCTAAACCAGATTAATTGTCTAGCTCCACCCCGTGATATCTCCTGGTCCTGACACTGGGGACACGCCCTCCCTAGGGAGCAGGGGGAAGGGAAGGGCCTCAACTGAAGCAGCACCAGTATGCAGGGCGGGAAGGGACCCCTGAGGCAGAGCTAAGCTCTGGGTCCTGGATCTGCTGCGTGTTTGCCAAGAACAAGCCCTTAAACCAGTGGTTCTCAACCTTCCTAATGCCATGACCCTTTAATACAGTTCCTCATGTTGTGGTGACCCCCAATTTCATTGTTACAAATTGAACATAATTAAAGCATAGTGATTAATCACAAAAACAATATGTAATATTCCGATGGTCTTAGGTGACCCCTGTGAAAGGGTCATTTGACCCCCAAAGGGGTCGTGACCCACAGGTTGAGAACCACTGCCTTAAACTCTTTAAGAATTTATCTTTTAAAACTTAAAAATAAGAGGGTTGAAGATGATCTTTAAAATCCTTTCCAGTCAATAAAATTCTGTAGTAATTGCACAGGGAAGCATTTTATAGTCAAGATGACATGATGGGCCTTTTTTATTATTATTACTTAGCACTCATTTCGAAGTGATATCTTTCCGGGGTGGAAGGTTTTGAAAAGTGAAGGCATATTCTCTTGGGTCTGTGCGCCCTTCCACCCCGCGCCTTGCATCGAACCCAGTGGCTTTACAGGAACCACTGGAACCTCCCTGTGTCCCTCTGGAGACCACTGGGCCCAGCGTTTCCCAAGCAGCCGTCAGTCACGCCTGCCCTTCCATCAGGGGCACCTATCATCTTGAAATCATTTTAATCCTGCCCTTTCTGGAACCTTCCCCGGGCCATTTCCCTCGAGTATGACTTCTTTGCACGGTCTGGATTTAGGATTTTTCTATTCTCTCTTTCCTTTAAATGCCTGTTGCCATTTGAGCGAACCTTTGCACATCACCTGGTTTTCACACAAAACCAAGCAAAATGAGAAATCGGAAGCGCGCTGTGACACAGGTTCCCAGTGGAGGTGCTTATTACTTAAAAGCTGGTTGAAGATGCTGTGAGAAGTGAAGGATCTGTGCCATGCTTACATGCATTGTTATGGAAAATGTCAATAGTATGTTTGAAACCACAGAGTATAAATGTCTTTCTGAAAATAGTTTTTGAGCTCTAGTGTGCCGAAGTTGATCTAGCAAATAGATATCATGAGGGCCACTTTCGGTTTTGTTAGATTTCAATGCATTGTATTCTTAATGCGCTTTGCCTTTAGATTTTACTTTGTTTACTGTGCTGAGCACTCATTATAGATCTTTTACTAAGGTTAATTTTATTTGCTCTCATTTTATTTTTTTATAACCTCTTTTTCCTCTCCTGTCTACCTGATGATTTTTGAATTGTTTGTCTGTATATAGCTATAGACATAGATGCTACTGGCTTAGATGCAGAAGAAAATGATATTCCAGCAAACCACCGCTCCCCTAAGCCCAGTGCAAACAGTGTAACGTCACCCCACTCCAAAGAGAAAAGAATGCCCTTCTTTAAGAAGGTAACATTAACTTCCAAGCTCCCATCTGTCCGCCTGCTCAACTGCACTGCGTCACATTCTAGTCCTGTTGACTGTCTGCGTCCTTCGATAAGCCAATAACATGCATGCTCTGTTATTCTTTGTTTCTTTTCCATGCTGCTGTAGCTAAGCAGAAGCAGAAATCGGTAAGTCTGCATTGACATAAGCTGTGTTTATCCTGCCACTGGCATCATTAGCATTCAAGGCCGCAGTTGTATGAAATACAATTATTTCTGTCCGAAGGAAAAAAACCGACCAAGCCTCTAATTGAGTCCGTGCATTGCAAACCGACTAAATTCAGTGAGTGACTGTGAAAGCACCATTACAGTCCTTATCCTTTTTGATGGAATAATATCGACCACCAAGGGAACTTGTTTAAACATGTAAGGATGTCGAACACTGACAACACTATCTGATGCACCTCTCTTGTGCATGCTTATTCTGTCTGTCTTTGCCTCTTTCTTTTTTCTCAATTTAACTTATAATCAAGCATTTTAAAACCAATATTAGATTCTGATTTATGATATCCAGAAACATAGCTTGTACTAAAAAAAATGATTCAAGTCTTAATTTAGTCAGTATTTAAACTTCTAATCCATTAGGTGCAAAATCTGCAGATGAACAAGACCAGTGGGAAAATGCAGGCTTGTTCTGGCGGTTTACTGTGAGTTTTTCCTCTCGTCCTATATAAATACTCTCCCGCTGTCCGTGCCTCCTCCATCGGTCCGATTCCCGCATCTCGCCTGCTGGACAATGGGGCGGTGGCCGAGCTCAGACCCTTTGCCCCTGGCCAGCCAAGAACTACACGGTGATGCTCCTCATCCCCTGACTGGAAACTAGGCAGTCCTGAGCTCTCTTTACTCCAGACAAGGTCTGGTTCCTGTCAGCACATTTTGTAGCTTCAGAGCGATATTTTTTAAGGAGGTCTCCCCGGCCATTTCCATTTCTTCCCTTCTTTTATTCACCACTTTCCACAGCCTACTATGCTGTCTCTATAGTCATACTTCCTAATGGCACCATGTCCTACGCGACCACAGTATGTTATGCCACATAGATGTTGAGGAAGACCTACTCTGCTCTACACTCCCCACGTCCTAAATTCTTCTCCTCTGCACGCAAGTATTTTGCTCTGTGGCAGAACTCTAAACTCATCAATGAGGTGTCAGATACTGAACTGTGAAGTTGTTGTTTTTTAAATAAATTATGGTTATGTTAATAATGGAAGACCTGAGCACTCCAGGCTAAAATTAAAACACCTGGATTTTTTTTTGTGTGTTAACACAGAAGCCCCAGCCCATCTCTTGTGGTCCTATCTTCTTGTCTTAGCAAAAGTGACGAACAGTGTAAAATCCTAGAAAGTCAACATTGCTGAGCTGCTCTGGGCTTTAACGAACAGTGACGTGAACTAAAACATGGTAGTCCAGATGAGATTTTTGAGCTTTCCGTACTCTAAAATTCCAAAACTTTAAAAATGTTTATCACAATTTTTCCACTGAAGAATTTGAACAACATCAGGTTAGCAGGAAAGGGTAGGTAAAAATGATGATGTCGTAATCACCAAGTACCAATATTCCATCAAATAAGGTAATTTCTGTAGCGACCTTATTGATTGAGAAGGTGACTGATCGCCAGCATTGGGTAACCCTTTGCTAGCTGGCAGTCATAGATCGAAGGAAACAAAGACCTATCAAATAATGGGCCACTTAATACTAATGACTCGAAATAAAATTTCTTAGTAGCTGTTACTAAAATGCATGCAATTTTTATTCCTAATTACACTGGTGAAAAAGGAATTCTCATACTTCATAGTTATAAAGACTTGGCTTCTAAACATTTTCAGAATGATCCCAGGTGGTACAATTGTAATAATTTAACAAATATGCTTATGATGCCTTCGGCACTGGTATTCATTCTTCTTATGTTATTGATTATGTGGTCAACTTAGAGTGCAGAGTCCAAACACAGGAAACAGCCTGAGAGTCAATGATAAGAGTGTTCTCCGTGTTTTAGGCTGCTTTCAGAGTGGTGCTTGTGTGGCATTTGTGCTGTCACTGTATTATGTTTGTCTTGTTTTATTTCTGTTTAAAAATGTATTCTACCTTTATTGTGGCTTTTAAAATTAATTGTGAATACTAGGCAAAATTTTAAGCAGTAAAACTTGACAGCACAATCACAGTAATATTTTCTCCCCTTTTGATTATATTTACCTATGGCATTAGCGAAATCTCAGCTGAAAGCTTTCGAATTTGAAATGATTTTTAATTTCCCTCTTAAGCAAGTTAAATTTAATCAAATTCAGAAAGTTTGCAATGAGCAATTTTAAGCAGCAATAAGATGTTCTGGGGGGTGCAAAAATTATACTCACATTTGCACACCACTTTATCAAATTCTTAAAATAGTTTAAAGAATATTTTTCTGTTGGCCTGTGTGACTAAAAGAAATTCTTGAAATATTTTTTCCAGATGCTCTTTAATGCAGAAAGATTCATATCACAATGATTTGGTTACTTCAGGTCGACAGCCATATCTCCCTTCTGCATTAAAAGATGCATTTTGAGAATCAGTGTGTGACATTTTCACTGTCAAAATAGCCATTTTTAATATAATCAAACAAATTAGTGGTTACCTAATACTTAATGAGTTGAAATAAAATTTCTTAGTAGCTATTACTAAAATGCATGTAATTTATATTCCTAATTCAAAATTTTTGAAAAATTTTGATTTTGGTTATTTTATTTTAAGCAGTTAAGCTGGAAAGTTTTGAAAGATTTAGAAATTGCTACGAAATGTAGCTCCTCCCCCTGGATTAGTTACGTAACAGAAACACTACTCGGTGCTCCTGGGAAGCATTTAGAGATGCAAGTGAATGACGAACTTTCTGAGGCCACTGAAGCAGGCTCGATTACCACACATTGTCCACCTTTCCTCCGAGACACATAAACCTTCCTTTTCAGAAACCAAAAATCCAACAATATCAACCTCTAAGCTGTCCATAGGAGTCCAGATTACTGTTTACTGAGACAAGCATACCTGCTAAGTTAAACTCTTACAGTAAAATAGGACTTTTCAAGTACTTGGTAATGAGGTACAGTGTTTTGAAGTTAGGTTTTATCCGGGTAAGACAAGCACCTAAGACGCAAAGGTAATGAAACCTTTCTTTTCTCTGCGCTTAACCATGTTAGGTCTGCAAATGTGGCTCTTCAGAAAACTCCAGTGCATCTGAAAAGCCATCTTAACTTCCAGTCAAGCCTAAAGCACCTATTCTGCATGAGGCATGTTTCTATCTGTTCTACCAACTAGTTCTCATTCAAAAGCAGCACCTTCTGCTTTAGGAACTCATCTGTTAGTAGCATTTCTTAAGGAGAGGAGAAAAAAATGTAGACAATTCAATAACTTGAAAACTTTAGGAAAATAAACCCACCGGTCTTTGATTGGGTTTATGTAGAAAAGAGGCGAGTTAATAAAATAATTTAAAAAATGAAATGTCTGGAAAGCCAGTGCCTCGGATCACAGAGCTTGGAAAGAACAGGTTTTACGTAAAATACTCACGTTCCCCCTGCCTGTCAACCACCTGACGCCCTCTCCTCTCTCTGCAGACAGAGCACACGCCTCCCTATGATGTGGTTCCTTCCATGCGCCCCGTGGTCTTGGTGGGCCCTTCCCTGAAGGGGTACGAGGTAGGTCGCTGCTGCCTGGCGCACACCTGACCTTCGTGTGCTGAACTGCTTTGTGACCCCGGCTCCCTCTCCTGACTCTTGAATTTAGAACTCAAAGAGCTCCTACCACAAAGCGTGGTGTTCTTCAAGCTGTGGTACACGTTGCTTCCTGTTGTGGCCTGTTTTATTTTCTTGGCTGTTGCTCTGGAGATTTCTGCTAGCTTCAGTTTACTCAGCTGGAGGGGAACAGTATCAGATGGACAGTGACTGAAACCACTGTGGTGCCGTGTGTTGTCATTAAAACATCAGGATAAATTCAGGGAACTTGGACTTTCGAATTGTCATTGTATCAGAACTCATGAGAACAGGCAAATTGGATCTCACGTGCTACTTCTTCCACATGGGAAGCCCGGGTTTTTAGACATTCTTAAGAGGAGTAAAATCATTTTATTGTAATAGTAATATTTTTATTGTCTCCTAACTTACTGCTTCCTCAATTGCAGGTCACAGATATGATGCAAAAAGCGTTGTTTGATTTTTTAAAACACAGATTTGAAGGGCGGTGAGTATTTCAGAATCCTGGATATTGTGGGTTTTGTCTTGAAAATGACAACACCTGGTGGGACAGGCAGGTGATCCCAAGAGTACTACCCTCTGAAGTCTATGGGGCGACAGGAAAGAACTTTGTCCAGTTCAATCTGATGCCATAAATATTTGTCACATCCTCAAACCTGCATAACCCATCTCATTGTTCCTACACCTACATACCGAGGCTGAAATTGGCCAAATCTTTCTGCGTAGTCTCGCCCCAAATTCATGGTCAGCTGGCCCTCATCGCTGCCCATAAATCAAGCTAAATATCCCTCTTCCCTTTACTTTTCTACTCTTCTAGTAATGTTCATGCCAGCTCCTCTCGCCTCAAACCTCTAACATCCCCTGTTCATCTCGCTGTCCCCCATGAATTTGCTTCCTATTTCATTGAGAAAATAGAGACAGAGAACTTCCCAGAGTTCCCACCACCACACCTATTCCCACCTGCATGTTTGCCCGTGTGCTCTGCTCTTCTCTTATTACTATTAACAGTGGTCAAACCCACCAGCTTGGATGCCAGACCTCACCCCCCATCCCCACCGCAGCACAGCCATAACAGCCCTTTCCCCTCTCCTCAGTACCATAAGCATATCCAATGTAGTCATCTCTTCCTTCAACAAAAGAGTTGACCTCATGTTCCCTCTAGCTGTCTCATTTTTCTCCTTTTCTTTATGGCAAAACTCCTTGAACAAGTTATGTGTCCATCACTCACCCAAAACTAGTCATGTCAGATCACTAGTCATGTCAGGACCCTCACAAGGCTAATTCCCGAGTGAATCTGCCGTCCTCCTCTTAATTGACGTGGTGGAACACACCATCCTCTTTTAAATTCTTCGTTTGGTCTCTGGAACCACACACACACTTTCTCATTATTGGTTGATTCCTGTATGTGCCCTGACCAGAGATTGAAACTGCAACATTGGTGTATTGCAGCGGTTCTCAACCTATGGGTCGCGACCCCTTTGGGGGTCGAACGACCTTTCACAGGGGTCGCCTAAGACCATAGGAAAACACATATATAATTACATATTGTTTTTGTGATTAATCACTATGCTTTAATTATGTTCAATTTGTAACAACGAAAATACAACCTGCATATCAGATATTTACATTACGATTCATAACAGTAGCAAAATTACAGTTATGAAGTAGCAACGAAAATAATTTTATGGTTGGGGGTCACCACAACATGAGGAACTGTATTAAAGGGTCGCGGCATTAGGAAGGTTGAGAACCACTGGTGTATTGGGACGATGCTCTAACCAACTGAGCTACCCGGCCAGGGCTGAAAAATGCAGAGATGTTGAAGCCACTCACCGTCTTTGCCTCCAAGGAGCCCATGTATAAACCATAAATTGAAACCTCAAGCAGTAAAATATAATGTAAATGAAAAGGCAGCTCAGTGGGTGTGTGTCCAAGGCTCAGGAAGCATAAACAGAGGAAGGGGTAACACTGATTTAGGGATGCCACCATCCAGGAAGGGTTTTTAAATGGAACCTATGATTTCACCACCAAGTGAATTAGGAAGAGAAGGGGCATGTCCACCAGAGGGTGTAAAATGTGTGACAACATCAAGATGTGACACAGCATATATGAGAGGCAAGTTACTTAACATTCCTCAAGTCAAGTGTAGGCAGGAAGTGACTGGTAACAAGGCCAGGGCTGTGTCTGCTGTATCATGTTAATCATCTTGGACTTACTCCTTTTCCTCTCCTCTTCTCTCCCCTCCACTTGCTTGTATAAATACTTATTGAGCATATGCTCTGTGCCAGGCATTATGAGGAGAAAAGCAGATAGGACCTTACTCACAGTCTTTTGAAAGGCAGCCTTGAATCAGATAACCAGTGGGCGCCATAGGAAAGGTTAAGCCAGCTTCTGATAGGAATCTAAAATGGAAACTTCAAAATACAGGGCTGGTGAGTATTTCTGCATTGTCAACAAGGTAAATGTGCTGTCTCTCTTCTCCACATTCCTTTTCTTCTTCTATCCTAACAATACAAGTATAATAGATGGCATCTGTAGGTCTCAGTGTTCTTTTAGATTTCTTAATATAGTACTTTCTCCCTTGACCACACCTGCTTCTGCAACCATTTCTGATTTATATTGACTTTTTGGAAGGGGAGGCAAGGACAGAGGGAGAAACTTTTATAGGAAGATACAAGTGTGGTTAGTAATCCAGCAAAGGACTGAAAGAGGCAGAAAAGGAAAACACAATTCAAGGTATAAAAAGACTTCATGATCAAAGTCTACCTAACCAGATGCTCCTAATTGTACATTTTTGTTTTCCATTGCTTTATGAAATATATTTTATTTTGTGCCAGGAAACACAGCTTCATCCTTGGGCCTTTGGCTTGGTCCAAGGCTCTCAGGCCAAGTATAAAAGACATGCCTCTAATTGGGCCATTTAGCTTTCACTTCTTTATTCTTGGCTCTGCCGTTTATCGCAATTTGGAACTGTCCCATGAGCGTGCACACCCAGAAAATTCTGCTAGACAAGGCACCACGCTCTCCGTGGCTGAGGTAACCTGCTGCCCTTTCCTAAATGCCAGAGAGGATGGAATTTCCTGACTTCCCACTTCTGTTTAAACCCGTAAACCGGAGTGCGTTTCTAATTTGGAAGACAGATTCCAGCCATAGGGTGTATCTTGGACCGTGTTATAAAGTATCAGCCATTCAGACTGGTTTCATTTAAGAAATGCAGAAACAAAATATCTGCAGGTTGTATCTTTTGTTTCTGGCCAGAAGTCATTTCCATATGGCTTTATTAATGGGCCTGCCTTGGTTCATCTTGACTCATAGAGCTGGAGTTCAACTTTCTAGGCCTGTGATCACAATGAAAGATCCTCCAAGGAAGTAATAGAGTCTATAAGGCAGAATTTCAAAAAGCCAGAGACAATTTTAACTTTTTTTTTTTACTCCTGGCAAGACCTTCAGAGTATCTGAATCATTAAGTGTCTTTGCTTTTGGCAAGCCAAGATAACAACAGAGGGTGGAAAGTCAGCAGAAGCATCAGGTATGACTAATTCTCAAAAGACGTAATTCTAAAAGGAAAAAGTGAATTACTCATTGATTATCTATTAAATAAACTAAATTTATCCAAAATATATAAGAGCTCATGCAATTTAACAAAAGGAAGACAAACAATCCAATTTAAAAATGGGCAAAGGCACCTTTGACCTCCAGCCTTGACCATCACGGGCCTTCATTCATGTACAGGTCGTGTCTGCACTCCTTGGAGTCGTGCTGACAAGCAGCCGAGACCATGGTCACTGGGGACAATTCCAGCTTCAACTACATTATATCGACATAGAAGCTGTCCTAGGCAAATGGCCATTCCATTTTCTTTTTAACAAAATGTTTGTGTTATTGCACAATTCCCTGCCCCTTGTGTGGGTCCCTGGGTGTGTGGGGGCATCCTTGCAGGCAGGACACCTGGATGCTGGCACCTGAGGACTTGAAGGCGCTGCCACTGGCTTGCCATTTATGTCACAGCAGCTTCCATGGTTATCTTCAAGTTCAACTTTGAATGAACTGTCATGTTAAAAGATAAAATAAAACAAACAAAATGGGCAACGGACCTAAATAGACACTTCTCTAAAGTGAGCATTTGAAAAAATGCTCAAAGGCACTGATCATCAGACAAATGCAAATTAAAACCACAATGAGGTATCGCCTCACACCTGTCAGAATGGCTACCATCAACAAATCAACAAATGACAAGTGCTGGTGAGGATGTGGAGAAAAGGGAACCCTAGTACACTGCTGGTGGGAATGCAGACTATGTAGCCATTATGAAAGACAGTATAGAGTTTCCTCAAAAAATTAAATATGGAACTGCCATTTGACCCAGTAATCCCACTTATATGAATATATTCTAAGAAACCCAAAACACTAACCAGAAAAAAATGTTTGCACCCCTATATTCATAGCAGTGCAATTTACAATAGCTAAAATCTGGAAATAACCCCGGTGCCCATCAGTAGATGAGTGGATAAAAAAGCTGTGATACATTTACACAGTGGAATACTATGTAGCAGTAAAAAAGGAGGCTCTCTTACCCTCTGAGACAGCATGGAGGAACCTGGGAGAGCATTATGCTAAGTGAAATAAGCCAGTCAGAGAAAGACAAGTATCACATCTCACTCATATGTAGAATCTAATGAACAAAATAAATGTTGAACCAAATAGATCCAGAGACATAGAAGCATGGAGCAGACTGATGAATCTCAGAGGGAAGGCAGGGGTGGGTGGGTGGGAAGAGATCTACCAAAGAACTTGCATGCATATATGCATAACCCATGGACACAGACAATAGGGAGGTGAAGGCCTGGGGCGAGGGGGTGGAGGCAGGCTAGAAGGGGTCAATAGGGGTGGGGGGAACATTGGTAATACTTTCAACAATAATGATTTTTTAAAAATAAATAAAAATTTTAAATTAAAACCCAAGAGGGAGAAAATATGAAACGAAGTGTTGGTGATGAAAAGATTCTAGATAGGAATTCTTTTCTGTCCTTAAACCTACTTGCGTTCATTTGCTGCGGCCCTGGGAGTTGTCAGAAGCATGGCCCTAGTGTTAAAACAGCATTTAAGTGCCCGGCTGGCATGGCTCAGTGGATGAGCGTCAACCTATGAACTAGGAGGTCAGGGTTTGATTCCCGGTCAGGGCACATGCCCGGGTTGTGGGCTCGATCCCCTGTGTGGGGCGTGCAGGAGGCAGCCAATCCATGATTCTCTCTCATCATTGATGTTTCTCTCTCTCTCTCTCTCTCTCTCTCTCTCTCTCTCTCTCTCTCTCTCTCCCTTCCTCTCTGAAATCAATAAAAAATATATATTTAAAAAAAACAAAACCCAGCATTTAAGTGTGCCAGGGCAAAGAGGTGATGGCAAACCATTCTCCTTTCTTCGTGTGCAACAGAGTAGCCCACTTACATTGCATGACCCTAATCACCTGTGTCATGTAAACAAAACAATTTCCCAATTCACCTGGTAGGACGAGGACAGGTAAATTAGCAAGGAAACCAGGGACGAGGAGGAAGGCTACTGTCAGTGATGAGTTCAGTTGTCCTTGCAGTGTTTTGAAAATGTCAGCTCTTGCCACTGCAGTGTCTAGAGTTCATACTGCATTGCTGTAGGGATATGTACATGTTGAAACTGGTGCGAAGGGATCTTAATCAAAAATCAATAATCCTGGGAAACATTACATCACTTTATTTGGTGGAAAATTTCCTTGGATGTGAGATAACTCCCTCTAAACTAGTGGATGTCTACCATGGTTGCATATTAGTATCACCTACAGTGTTTTAAAAATGAAATAAAAAGCCAGGGTTTATATTCCACCCGTGACTAATTGCAACCAGATCTCTAGGGCGGGACCTAATGTAACTGAAAACGCTTATATGGCAATTCTGATGTACGAGGAGCATTGAAAACTACTCCTCTAAACTGAATTGTCCCCAGAATTTTGCCCTTAGGACTTTTTTAAATTCAAGTAATGACAGTTCCCCGAGCATACGTTAAGGAGTTGAAATCGTGTGGTGGCCCGTCTCACGCCGCTTACACAGCTCGTCACGTAAGCAGATCAGTGGACGCCGGGCTGGACAGCACCACGTGCAGAAAGGAAAAAGTATGGGGACAAAGAGCAACGTGTTGTTACAGAAAACCCGTCCTTCTGCTGAATGGGTTCAGACGCTCCTGTCTTGTCCCCACTGTAATCCCAGGGTAGTGCCCAAAGCTCGGCAGCCGCTTTAGAGCCACAGGACCCAGATTCTGGTCATCAGCAGCGCGTGGGTGCCCCCAGCTGCACTAGTACATGCCCAGCACCTCAGGTGCTCCCTCTTCCTCTGCCTAGAAGACCCTGCCCACGGCATCCATAGGGCTCGGTGGCTGCCAGAGGCGGGGTAGAGGCAGCATCGACCACAGAGGGGTAGCAAAGGGGAACCTGGGGAGAAACGGAGTGATACTGCATCATGAAGGCGATAGTAGGTATGAAACTCCATGAATTGGCCCCAACTCATAAAGGATCGACTGTATGACATATAGATACATTTTTTGCAAAATCCAGTAATCCCTTTCCACATGGTCCCAAATGCATTGCTATCCCAATGGCAACCAATGTTAACTGCATTAGCTATTTCTCAGTGTTTACTCCTTACCTCTCAATAACATACTTAATTTGCTACTTGAGCTTTCAGTCTTAATCATTACCCATTGATTTCTCCCATGAGGATATGTAGCTCTCATGCACAGTCCTCCTCTCTCTCACACATACCTGCATACACATCTCATCCTCTAGACCAGTGGTTCTCAACCTGTGGGTCGCGACCCCTTTGGGGGTCGAACGACCCTTTCTCAGGGGTCGCCTAAGACCATCGGAAAACACATATATAATTACATATTGTTTTTGTGATTAATCACTATGCTTTAATTATGTTCAATTTGTAACAATGAAATTGGGGATCACCACAACATGAGGAACTGTATTAAAGGGTCGCGGCATTAGGAAGGTTGAGAACCACTGCTCTAGACTCTCAACAGGTAAGTTGGTATGTTTGGCTGGCTCCATTTTTAGTATGTATTGTAGCCATGTAAATAATATATAAATGGGCCATGTCATGCACTGTGATTACTCTTTCATAAGTGTTTGTGGTACTATGAGATAAATCATTTCACCTTTTATACTTGCTTAGTTTTCTATGTATTTGGCACTAATTCAGCCCCAGATCCTCCCCCAGCTGTCTGAATCTCCTCCGAGTAGATTCAGATGCACCAGGTGGTCTTTCACCTTTGTCCTTTGGAATCTTTCTGGGAGCGCTCGGGGCTGCTGCCATCTGGATGGGTGCCCTCTGTGCCGGTGTACACTCGCCATTCTGGGACATCCTTTGTCACTGTCTTTGGGCTTGCTGTCACCTTTTCTTTTGGAGCTCCCTTGGTCTCTTTCAGGGTTTACCCTGTCATTTCAGTCAGCAACATCCTCTAATAGTTTCCCTAGAAAGAGTACATAAAAACTGTCTTTGAGACCTGAATGTCTAAAAATGTCTTTAGCCCTGCCTAGTGTGGCTCAGTTGGATGGGCAAAAAGGTTGCTGGTTCGATTCCTGGTCAAGGCATATGCCCAGCTTATGGGCTCTATCTCTGGTCAGGGTGTGCAGGAGGCAGCTGATGGGTGTTTCACTCTCACATTGATGTTTCTCTCTCTCTCTTCCTCCCTCCCTCCCTCCCTTCCTCCCTCCTCCCTCCCCCTTCCTTTCTCTAAAAAAAATCAATAAAATATTTTTTAAAAATAAAAATAAATTAAAATGTTGTTAATCCACCCTCCCATTTAATTGATAGTTAAAGTGGTAATGGAATTCTAATTGGAATAATTTCCCCTCAGAATTTTTAAGTCTTTTTGCTCCATGGGACCTGTTTTTTCCTCTGGAAATTTTGCTTTGTCTCCAGTGTCATGAAATTTATGTAGACATGTCATTCAACCTTTGTGCTGGACCCTTTCAATTTGGAAAAGTCAGACTCTTAATTCTGGATTTTTTTTTTTTAGTTTCCTGTTTTCTATTTCGTTATTCTCTTTTTTGTGGCCATCTTTTTATTTGGAAGTTGAACCTTCTAGATAACTAATTTTTATACCTTTCTTCTATTTTCCATCTTTGTCACTTCAGTTTTACTCTTTAGAAGATGTCCTTAACTTTATCTTCTAGCTCTTCTTTTGTTTGTGTTTTTTTCTTTATTGATTAAGGTATTACATATGTGTCCTTATCCCCCCATTACCCCCCAACTCCCCCCCCCACTCATGCCCTTACCCCCCTGGTGTCTGTGTCCATTGGTTAGGCTTATATGCATGCAAACAAGTCCTTTGGATGATCTCTTCCCCTTACCCCCACCCATCCTTCCCTACCTTCCCTCTGAGATTTGATGGTCTGATCAATGCTTCTCTGTCTCTGGATCTGTTTTTGTTCATCAGTTTATGTTGTGCGTTATATTTCACAAATGAGTGAGATCATGTGATATTTATCTTTCTTTGACTGGCTTATTTCACTTAGCATAATGTTCTCCATGTCCATCCATGCTGTTGCAAATGGTAGGAGTTCTTTCCTTTTTACAGCAGCGTAGCATTCCATTGTGTAGATGTACCACAGTTTTTTAATCCACTCATCTGCTGATGGGCACTTAGGCTATTTCCAAATCTTAGCTATGGTAAATTGTGCCGCTATGAACATGGGGTGCACATATCCTTTCTGATTGGTGTTTCTAGTTTCTTGGGACATATTCCTAGAAGTGGGATCACTGGGTCAAACGGGAGTTCCATTCTTTGTTTTTTGAGGAAACTCCATACTGTTCTCCACAGTGTCTGTACCAGTCTGTGTTCCCACCAGCAGTGCACGAGTGTTCCTTTTTCTCCGCATCCTCGCCAGCACTTGTCATTTGTTGATTTGTTGATGATAGCCATTCTGTATATAGAAACAAAAATTCAAAAGAAGAGCTAGGAATTTTTGTTTCTATTGTTATATATTTAATTTTCAAAATCTCTTTCTTTTTTGAAATAGATATTTGTCCTAGTACATAGTTATACTCATTTCTTAGCTTTCAACTTTGAATGTTACTAATAGTTGTTTTTTTTTTGTTTGTTTTGGTCTCTCATGTAAGGGGTTTGCCTAAGAATGCCCAGTGAACATTGCAGTGCTCAAATTTAAGAATAGGACTTGAAATAATCAGTTGGAAATTGTGCCCATTGGTGGAGCTTGTCAACTTTGTTGCCTTGTAGGACAGCCTCCCTGGACATCTACGTAGAAAACCACCAATGTCATTACTTTTGGGTCTTTCCTCTTTGAAGGTCAGATTTCCCAGAGAAAAATCTTCCCTTTAGAATCCTTTCTTTTCCAAATAATATGTCTTCTCTGCTCTGTCTCGGGTCCCCTCAGAGACCCTCTGTTTTATTGCCTGTAGAGTCTAAACCAGCCATAGGGAAAGGATGGTCACCTGGTGACTTGATGTAGCAGACGGGAGGTGAAGGGCTCTAACTCTGAAACACTTCTAACCAAACTTCCTGTTTCTAGTCTCCCTTTCACCTCCTTCAAAGGTATTGTGACCCTTCTAGTTTTTCCCACACCTGTTCCTACTGCTGGCTGGTGTATTCAGCTGTCTCCAGTCTAAGTAATTTGCACCTTCTGGCTTGCAAATTTTGTTGTTCTCATTTCTACCCTAACAAAAATGACCCCTCCCCCCAACTACTGTCACAACACCCTCTGTGTCCTCTTCACAACAGTCATCTTAATCTTTAATCACTTTACTAATTTATTTTCTTCTTTATTGCTGATCTCTGCCACTAGACTCAGCTCTGTGAGGAAAGACCATGTTAATCTTGTTCTTACTCATTTTCATGCCAATCACAGCACCATACTTTTGGGAGGGCCTATAACACAAGGGCTGAATATGGCGCAAGGAGCCTGGGTTCAAATCCCAGCTTCGTCATTTTTAGTTCATATGTGACCTTAAATGAAAAAACCTACCTCTGAGGCATTTTCTTCATCAACAGAAGTGGTCTGATAATAAACCTCATTGCTAGAGTTTTGGCGATAATGTAATGAGATAGTCCCAGCAATGAGATAATGCTTAGTACATGCCTGGCACTTGGCAAAGAACCAGTAAGTGCTAAGTTAAGTAGTACAGGATAAAAATAATGAATGAGCAAGTACCCTAACATTTTTTTTTGTTTGAAAATATGGTCATAATATATATGTTTCATACTTAGATGAGTTTGAGGCATGGATTTCTGTCCATTTTTAATCAATTAATAACCTCAGGGTCTTCTGTTACTTTTTCCCCAACAGGATATCCATCACAAGGGTCACTGCTGACATCTCGCTGGCCAAACGCTCAGTGTTAAATAACCCCAGTAAGCACGCAATCATAGAAAGGTCCAACACAAGGTCAAGCCTAGGTAAGTGTGCGCTGCTTATGAACTTAAGCTATTTCAACACTTCTCCCTGAGGCTGCCAATGAGATCTAACAAGATGGTAATTCCATGTGTCACAGAGCCGAGAAGAAAGAGACACGTGCTGCCAGCAGCTAGTGCTGCAGTCGCAGTGATTTCGTGGCATGAGGAATTTGTTATGATAGTTTTGAGTTAAAAATTCCACAGGCTGTCAGCATGAATGTTTTGGTTGTGGTTGTTTCACTTCTGTGAGCTTCAGTGTCTACAGATTCAAAAAATTCCTGGCTTTGCATGATAGGGTTTAGCCAGGAAAAAAGGGAAAAGGGTGAAAAGGGATTTTCAACAATAGGCTTCTGAAAAAAATAGATGCTTTACTTTGGTTGAGTGAATGGTTTTTTAAAAAAGAGAGATGGGTTAGGTAGCTCAGTAAGTTAGAGCATCATCGCAATATGCCAAGGTTGGGAGTCCTGGTCAGGGCACATACAAGAATCAACTAATGAATTTATCAGTAAGATCGGTAAGTGGAATAACAAATTGACTTCCCTCTCCCCTTTCCCCTCTCTCCCCTTTTTATTTCCACCCTCCCTCTCTCTCTCTAAAATCAATAAATTTAAAAAAAGTTAATCTATATATATAAAAGCTTAGGTGACCATAACAACCGGAACGACCAGTTGACCTGTCGCTATTATGCACATTGACCACCAGGGGGCAGATGCTCAATGCAGGAGCTGCCCCCTGGTGGTCAGTGTGCTCCCACAGCCAACCTCCTGTGGCCCCTCCCCCTGGCCACCTAGCCCCCATTGGCCCCTGGTGCTAAGCCATTTGTAGAGACCTGCTTCTGGGTCAGGGTTTCCTACATAGCAGAGCAGCTCCCTCACTGCGATCTATTCAAAGTCAGCCTCGACACAAGGGTTAGCCTGGCTCCCATCCTCTCCCTTCCCTGGGGGCCGACTGCCACACGGTGGCAACACGGCTGCGAGAGAAGGAGGTGGGGGAGGCAGGGAACCGCGCGGTGGCGGGGCTCCTACGGTGGCGTCTGTGTCTGGCATCTGTCCCTTCAGTCTGCCCGGCCCGGCAACTGTCACCTCCTCTCCGGACCCCGCCAGGGCCTTTGGGCTGGGACAGGGAACCAGGGGTGGGTGGCAGCAGATGTGGCCGCTTTCCCAGGGGGGCTGAGGGCCCGCTCCCTCCTTGGGGCCGGCGGCCAACCTCCCCTGCCTCCCCCACCCCCACCCATGCACGAATTCATGCATCAGGCCTCTAAGTAAATAAATAAAAAGAGGTGGGAAATGACACCAGAGATAGGCAGGGGAAGATATTTGAAAGTTTGGAGCTTATCCTTAAGACATACGGAGCCATGTAGATTTTAGACATTTATTCATCCATTGAACAAAACTGGATTACCAACCACATGCTGGACATTATGCTATGTGCCAGGGACATTAAAGTGAAGGACACTAAGTCCTAACTTTCATAGAGCTCTCGTTTCAAAGGGAAGACATGGCAAAGCTAATAGATGTAGACAGATACAGTCAGTCAGTGGTTGATGAGTCCCAGAAGAAGCAGGCCAAGCGACAGAGAGCAAGCTGAGGAGGAAGGTGTGATTTTATATGGGGATGTCAGGGGAGGCCTTTCTGAGGAGTGATATTTTGGCAGGAGGATTTATGTTGTGAATTCTGTAGCCTTTTGAGGAAAGAGTATTCTGGGCACAGGAAACTGTAAGGCCCTGAGGCAGGAGCATGTCTGATGTGTTCATCATGTAGGACTTTGTAGGCCTTTTAGTGTAGATGTGATAGGAAGCTGTACATAAGCAGGGAAGTGTTTTTAGAAGGATCACTAACAGCATTGTGGGAAAGATCATGGAACAGGCCGGTGGAAGTGAGGAAAAATTAGGATTCTGTGGAAGCAGCTTCAGAAATAGTGCACTCTGTGTAGAAATATCTATAATAATCTATAATAATAAAAGCATAATATGCTAATTAGACCGGACGACTGAACGACCTTCCAGATGAAGCTGAGGCAGCGGCAGCTGCCGCGGCTGCGAGGACCAAGCCCCTTGCACGAATTTCATGCATCGAGGCTCTAGTACAGTGGTTCTCAACCTTCCTAATGCAGCGACCCTTTAATACAGTTCCTCATGTTGTGGTGACCCCCAATTTCATTGTTACAAATTGAACATAATTAAAGCATAGTGATTAATCACAAAAACAATATGTAATTATATATGTGTTTTCCGATGGTCTTAGGCGACCCCTGTGAAAGGGTCGTTCGACCCCCAAAGGTGTCGCGCCCCACAGGTTGAGAACCCCTGCTCTAGTAGGTACATAATAAAATTGGTGCCTTACAAGAATCCTTGTATTAGCAGGGGAGGGGTAGGGGAGGCAAGACTTGGACAGGGCGGTCATTTAGGAGGGTGCTGTCACCATTCAAGTTAGAGAATAAGAGAGGCCTGAAGTAAGACAGTGGCAGAGGGAATAAGGACAATGAAATAAATCTGGAGATCAGTCAGGATTTGCCAGTCTGTTGAATGGGGAACATGTAGGAGAAAACTCCAGGATGGTTTTCAGCTTTTTGCTTTGAGAAACTGGGTGAGTGATGGTGTTACTCTGAGGATAAGGGGTTTAGGATGAGGGATCTTTATTTGAGGGAGTGGACTGGGGAGGGGATAAGGAAGGTGATGGCTACATTTGTAAACATGTCGGATTTGCAGTGTTATGGAGCATCCACATACCCAGCAGGCAATTGTATATACAGATCTGGAACTCAGCAGAGAGGGCGAGCTTAAGATGCAGTTGATTCTCAATATTCATGGTAGTTATGTCCCCGCAAACACTGAATTAGAGAATACTGAGCAGATAACAGAGGAAAGAGTGAACTTCGAAGATAGATAAACTCATTATCTTGACCATCTGTCTTAAGAAAAAACAAATAATATATAGGGAATGAAGGGTTGATAATAGGCTATAAAATTTGGCCTGTAGTAAATGTGTAATTTATGGGACTTGTTGATCTGATGAGTCTCATGTTTTGACTATCTATTACCACGGTACCTGTGCTGTCTTGTGAAATCAGCGCACTTATTCCATGACGTCGCTCTGATGGCCCAGCTACAGGAATATCTCTACCCAAAGAAAGTACTTCACTTCATCTAAATATATTTTGGTAGTCAACTTCTTATTCACATTTTTTAAGATTTATTTAATTACTTTTTTCTACAACAGCAGCTTTTACCTACACTGATTTTACAAAATCATCTCATTGCCTTATTGAGTTGACTCACTCCTTCAACACACTTTTTGAGTGCCAACTAGGTGCCAGGTACTGTACTGAGGGAAGACTTACAAGTAATGATATGTTGTTCCCAGGCTTTGGTCAGGTCACAGCCTATTGGAAATGTTTTTAATCACATCATTGAAATACAGTCAGATATGTGTTAACAAAGGTAGGTACAAAGCCATACTTGACATTAGTATGTATTATGGGCCAGGCACTGTGATAGGTGCTTTGCATGTTGGTTCATTTAGTCCTCATTTCCACTTTACAGAAATACTTAGACTCCAAGAAGGTAAGCATGTTACCCAAGGATTACACAGCTCTGTGAAGTGAGGAAGCCTAGTTTCTGCCCCAAGCCACTTGGGTGCCTGAGAGGACACACAGAGGCAGAACTTACTGGCTGGGGGAAAGGAATCAGGTCTTAGAGCGGGCTTTAAGATTTCCTCCTTTAAGCATTTGTCAAAATTAGGGTTTTATGTTTAGTGGTGATTATGAAAATGGCATTGGAATTATTGAATAACTGATACAAGGGCTGCCTCAAGGTCTTATTAATTCCTAACGGACCACTTAGATGTCCTCCAACACTAGCTACAATGAAAGTAACAACCTCCTCCCTCTATAGTATTGTTTGATTACTGAAACTTCTTTCATGTATTGGACATGATGATTGTTCCTGAGTACTGCTTTTAGTACATAAAGTATCAACAACAAGAAATTGTTCATTTTAGAAGCACCAGTTTTAATTCAGTGTGTATAGGAGACTAGGATGTGGACAGATGAGTAAGAGTGGCCTCATCTTTGCTGAGGGTGCATTCTTGCACTAGTTAGGACAACTTTAAAGGACCTCTTTTCAGTTTCAGAAATGAATGTCAGATAAGTCTTTAAATTCTTTTTTTTAAATAAATTCTGAGCATGATGTACTCTGTCAAAGAAAACCCCTAGTAGGAATACATTTCTTTTTTAAGCCATCAGTTTTACTTGGACATTAAAAATATTTTCTTCAAAATTTATTAGTCATTTTTTCTTAAGGTTTATTTACTAATATGTTGCATTGGGATTCTGAAAAGCCATTTTAAAATCTTTAAAAATATCTCACTTTCACCCATAGTTTAAAAAGTATCATACCTCTGGCAACATCAATCCGGTCTCTGTATCTATGAGTTTGGTGTTTTGGGTTTTTATTTTTGTTATTTTGAGTTCCACATATAGGTGAGATTTATCATATATATAGTATTTGTTTTTCTCTGTCTGACTTATTTCACTTAGCACAATGCCTTTAAAGTCCATCCATATTACAAATGGCAAAATTTCACTCATTGTTATGGCAAAATGAAATTAAATATAAAATATACACATATATCACATTTTCTTTATCCATTCCTCCATCAGTGTACACTTAGATTACTTCCATGTCTTGGCTGCAATGAACATGGTGAAGTTAGTGTTTTCCTTTCACTCAAATACTCACAAGTGAAACTGAAGGATCATATGATAGTTTTATTTTTAATTTTTTGAGGAACCTCCATACTGTTTTCTGTAGTGTCTGCACCAGTTTATATTTCCATCAACAGTGCACAAGGGTTCCCTTTTCTTTACATCCTTGCCAACACTTGTTGACTTTTATTTATTTATTTGTAATATATTTTTGATTTCAGAGAGGAAGAGGGACAGATAGAAACATCAAGATGAGAGAGAATCATTGATTGGCTGCCTCCTGTACGCCCCACACTGGG